AGGCTTGCATCTTCAAAATTAAGCAAACATAGAAACTCACCGCATGATATACGATTTTTCCACGTTTTCCTCATCCTCCTTGACGTTGCCAAACACTTTCATGCCGTCTCGATCTACCAGATTAAATACATGTCCCATGCATTTGGTCGGATACAAATGTCACATCTGCTTTCGCCTCAAATGCTTCGAAAAGTGTCTTGTTATTCGAGACACTGTCCACTGTTACGTGACCATGCTGCCGCACAAGGCCCAGCTTTTCAAGCATGCCATAGTAGTATTCTTCGAGATTGGTTCCTGAATATACACCTTTTTAAATAAAGAATCTAGTAAGAACCTCAAATGCTGCCGGCATTGATAATGGTGGCTAGAAATTGTGCGAACAAACCCGTTTAGGTTCCCAATCCAAGAAGTGTATGCTTCAATTTAAGCTTGCTGTCGATCCAATGTCCAGTCAAGAACATGAAGCCATGTGTTTGACCTGGTGTCGTCCAACATTCCGAGGTCATGTGGATATAGTTGAAGTGTTCCAAATCACATTGAATCATTTGCACCAGATTTTGTAACATCCAGACATGAATCTAAGATGCGTGCTCAATAAGCGCCTTTCACTTTACCATCATTGAAAAAGCTCGTGGATTGCATAATGCCAGAAGGTCCCTGAATGTTTTCCTCTCCACAACTGCCCAGGCAATAGTTGCGTCCGCAAAAAACTCTACAATACGAGTTTTTTTAAAGATTCCTGCGCCAAACTATCCTACTGTAAACAGTGAGTACAAATTAGCAGATAATAAGAGTACTGACTTGATACATCACCAGAAAGATTTAGTATACGTACGTCTTCAGTGCGTCTCCGTCTTTTTCCGCTCCGGTCAACAAATCCATCCAAAGTCTCATTATCGGCGACTCTCTCGGCTGTTATTTTACCAATCTTAATTTATATGGTATTGCTCCCGCAGATGTCGAATCAGGTTGGAGGTACCGGTGCCCTTAATGCACTTGCAAGTTTTCGAGCATTTGCTGCACTTGTATTAACGTGATTTTTTGCTCTGGCGATTCCTAGTTGTTTCCTGGCATGGTTATTTTCTAGTATGAAGTAATTAAAAGTATTAAAGCAGATGAGTAGTGCTCACTAGGTGGTTAATTGAATACTAACATATATTTGGTCCTTAGTTTGACAACAAGTGCTACATCTAAGCCACTCTTATACTAACGATACCATACTCAGCTGACAACGCGCCCGTAATCAACCGTCATCATGTTTGTAAACCTGCATCTATCCAAGAGGCGCTCAGCGGTGCGATAGTGGACATTACCTTCAACATTTAAATCTTCAACACTCCTCCTCGCGATCGCATTATACGCTTCAGCTATTGCAAACTCACTTGTAAGCGCAACTTAGCGAGCTTGTGCTGGTCGACCGGATAGGTCAATAAGTCCGCGATTATCATTTCGGATCAAACATAACATGGCTCTAGTATACCGCGACGAGCAAAGTCCTTGATAAACTTGAGCCGTACATCAATGTGCTTTGCCCTTAAGGGCAAAGCCTCGCCTTCAATCCGGCAGATTGCAGCTTGATCGTCCACATGCATCTTCATAGGCAAATTCGGTGGGAGTCCTAGTACTATCATCATCTCTCGAATTCCAAGAAGATCGCGGGCCGTTTCGTACGCTGCTACGAGTTCAGACTCCATTGTAGAGAGCGAAACTCCTCCTTGCTTATTTGCAGCCAGCTCACGGGCATACCGTTGAGCAGCACCATTGATCCGGTCAGATAAATTCCTGTCGCCCTTGTCTGCAGCGAAGTCTGCATCGCTGGAAGACTTCAGCGTAGGGCCAAATTATCCTTGGCATTGGTACGCATTTCAAAGTGCATGTTCTTGGTCCCGGCGAGGTAACGCGCAATTTTCTTCGCCAATTTCCAGTCTTGCTTTCGTGGCTCATGAGTGTGTCGCGTTGCTTTGTGAACCGCAAACGAGATGTCCTGCCGAGTGCATCTCGTGACCCGCAACAAACTTCCAACAAGAGACTGGAACGACTTGATTGTTGGTCTTCCTGGTTCAACGACCTTCGTAAGCAGTATTCTGTTCGAAGTGGCTTCATTGTAACAGTCGTCGCTGATCGACGTGAGTGTCGGGTTCGCCGACGCAAATCCGTGCTCCCAAAGCAGCTCATTTATTGCCGCATCCTGATCTAAAGCATACGCGCTTGAATCAATCGCTTTTACTCGAATTTCAAAGAATTTCGACACCTGTCCCAGGTTTTTGATCGAAAGCGATTCCATCGCCATAAATAAACAATCAGCTGCCGCCGTCGTAGTTGCCGTGACTAGTACGTCATCAACGTAGACACCCGCCACGGTCATCTCGCCACCTTCTCGATTGTAGTACAGACACATGTCACTTATGCACTGCATAAACCCTGCATCGATGAGTCTTGTCTGCAACAGCTAACTACAAAGTCGTCATGCCTGTTTGATTCTGTAGAGGCTCTTATTTAATTCGAGAGCGACGTCGATTGCAATATCCGCTCCAAGTTCCTTGAGCCGTTTAGCCTTGATTTGCATACGCACAGCAATATCTCTAAATGCTCCTCCTTGTCAACCTTCACATACGCGCTTTGAATGTCTTCGTGTTTCGCAGGTACACCTAATGTCGCTGCGAGTCCCAGGATCACCTTCATCGTCGACAGTTCCATCACGGCGGCGAAGGTAAGTGAGTAGTCGATACCGAAAACTTGCTCGTTCCCACATGCAGCCAGTCGTGCCTTGAGTCGCTCCACTGTGCCGTTTGCATCGGCCCTGGTCTTGTATAACCACTTACTGTGTAGCAGGTTTGCATCGGCCGGTCACTTGATCACGTTCCCTACGTTGTTGTCCTCAAGCGATTGGATTAATTAGAGCATGGCTCCACTCCAACCATCGGCCATTGAGCTTCTCATAGCCTCAGCATGTGCCTTTGGGTCCGGCACGTGGACTTGTAGAGCGGTGACTACATAATTAGTTGCAGGCATTGTCTCTGCATCGACCGCTTGGTTTCTCCACGTGTGCCATAGGGGGCGCGCGTCCATCGTCCTCCTCTTCCCTTGCCCTTCGTCTTCTTGTAACCGTCGCGAAAATTCCCGTGAGCGATCCACGCGTCACATCGGAAATTATCATCATGGTCTTATGGTTGTGCATTTTGCGTGTCGGGAAACGTCTGAATATTTTTTGACGTATTGGGTCACCATGAAGATGTTGTTCTTGCGAATAAATACACGGTAACCCTTAATCTCGTCGCGGTACACCGTGCACGTTGATCCAAACACAACGATGTCGCGCAAATCGGGGGATTTTCTCGTCACCTCCTCGATTGGAGAATGATGATTCGGGTTCAAGCTTGTAGGACTACGATTCAGGATGTACGTCGATTACTCGACAGCATCGCCCCAAAAATAAAGTGGTAGGTCGCTCGCAAATATCATGGAGCGCGCCATATTTAACACCGTTCGGTGCATACGCTCAGCCTTACCATTTGACGCTTGATTTCGCGCCTCACTAACCTGTCTCGCCACGCCGGATTACTTGCAAGGTAGGTCCACATTCTTGTACTCACCTCCACCGTCAGTACAAGAATGTGGACCTACCTTGCAAGAAACACGCGGCGGTAATTGCTTTTGTGATCCACAAAGTTGACAAGATACCGATTTTTCATTCGTCCCTTCGGAGTTATTGGTCCTTAAATGTCCGAACAGATTACAACACCAATATGATCAATTGATAAGTGCACCTCAGTGTCCTTCTTGGACTGCGCGTTCTTCGTCTGTTCGCTTGCGCGCACGTGACACGCGTCGCTTGTTGATTGTATGTAAGCCTAATGCCGGAGTTAGGCTCGCGAGCCATCCTCTCTAAGCGAGATGGACAAAGCGTTGATGAAAGTGCATTAGCGTTCCCACATGCACATCCTCCTCACCTTCTTCGTTGTTCATCAATCGCGGCCATGACTGTGCCTACGATTACTTCATTGACTTTCGTTTTTTTGCGTCTCAAGGACGAGTACATAGCCACGTCAAACAGTAGTAGCAAGATTAGCGCTCGCCTATTTTCCTTGTATTGAGCTCGTATCCTTTTAGCTCAAGCTTTCCAAACGACACAATATTGCGTGTTATCAACGGTGAGTAGTAGGCATCAGTTAGCTGAATAACCTTGCTCGTCCGTATGCCATCACGTGAAGCACCACACTTCCGACCATTGTTAGTCAAAGCGTCTTTCCGTCGGCGACCACGCATTGGTCGTCAAACTCACGTGCATTCTTTAGAAGCACCATATCATTAACGAGGTGCCTGCTGGAACCGCTGTCCAGTATCCACCACTTGTCCTTAGCTTTGTCGTCTTGCACGGACAGCGTGTAGTTAACAACGTCCTTAGGCATGCCATTGCCCCGCCACGTGCCCTTCGCACCTTTGTTCTTTTTCGACTAGTTTCTGTCGTCAGTACAGGCAAACTGGATATGTTCGAATTTGCCACGTGCGTGTAACAACGTGTGGCTTGCTTTCAGCAACGTGTGTTACGACGTCCTTACCAAACGAGGCAGCATTTCGTGTGTCTAGCTAAACAGACTGCGCGAAGTGTGCAAGCTATTCAGCTTAAGCGAGGTAGTCGACCCGATTCCGTCGTACTTGGACGATGTTGTCAAGCACCTGCGCGTCAGCGCCGCCGCATGAATCACTCACCGCCACCAAGTAAAGGTAATGCTCGGTCCAGATCCTCTTTGGTTCCTTTTAGCTGTAAATAGCCTCATCGACTGGGACGCTGTAATCGTCGTCTTGAACGTCTGATGCAGCCGCTCCATGACGTGTGCAAGCGTCGGAGTCTGGTGCCACCATGTTTCATCCTGCTTGTTGTAGTATCGCTCGGCTGTACCACTAAGGTAGTGACGAAGCAAGTCGGTCTTCACATATTCGGACCAGTCGAAACTACATGCCACTTGAGCGTACTGAAACTGACGCATGAAGGTTCTTCCTCAGTCCAGGAAACCGGAACCAAAGTCACGATATAGCTCGGAGCCATCAGACTTTCGAATTGTCAGCCGTCGTTGGCGCTCATCCGGAACTCGCATTTCTCGCTGCGCGTCCGGCTCCATCCTTCTCGCGTAATCTTGAGCCGTCGCGTACTCCGAGCTAGAATACGGTGCGAGTACTGGTGGTTCTGCTTGCGGTGCCCGCCACTCTGGTTGCACCGCATGTTGACCTGCTCCATGATGTAGCATGCTCGCATGACCTTGTCCAGTTCTTGTACGCACCGGTGAATGTCCGAGTGCATCGATATACAACGGAGCACCGCCGCGACCGTTGACAGGCGAAGAGCGGAACATTTCTGACTCAATTGCGCCCATCATCCGCTTGTCTTCGTCGAGCTTCTGCTGCGAGACCTCCATCTGCACCATGCGCGCTTGATGGTCGACGAGGTCACGAGTATCCGCACGTTGACGTCGTCACCTCGATCGTGGGCCGTCGGTGCGCCTAAACCTCTCTGGAAATGCTGCGGCCCTTTCGTGGCCGTCGTCAAAGCTGACTGGCGTTGGCGCGGTTGGCCCGCCGTCGAAGCCAGTCGTTGGGCTCGTAACCTATGAAAGCAGATGCGTAGTGATCACTAGGTGGTTAATTGAATACTAACATATATTTGGTCCTTAGTTCGACAACAAGTGCTACATCTAAGCCACTCCTATACTAACGATACCATACTCAGCTGACAACGCGCCCATAATCAACCGTCATCATGTTCGTAATCCTGCGTCTATCCAAGAGGCGCTCAGCGGTGCGATAGTGGACCTTACCTTCAACATGTCCATTTTCAATAGTAAGCCCAAGTTTTTGTATACCAGCAGAAGCGCCCGACACGTTACGATTTGCATTCTGTGTGACTGGAGTAACCGAGCTATCACTGACCTTTGGAGTAATGGACAAGTCCTGACTATCTTTTATTAAATAATGTGTCAGATGAAAAGTGATGGGTGACGGGTTTATCATTTGATTTTTTAATGTATAGTGTAAAGAAGAAAGAGTGGTGAAGGGGGTTGGAGCAGGTGTTTCTGATGTATGTCCTGAAATTTGGTACATGTACCCCATGGGTAAGTGGGTTGGGTAAAGCCAATTACCCATACCCAACCCACTAAGTCTGAGTCTAGGTACCTACCACCTCTAGCCGTAAACAAGCTATTTACCGTATTTACGGATCCATCCGTATATAAAGAGGCCTGATTATGGTCAATCAATTTTCGCAAATTTTCATCTGATAATCTGATAATTGACAGAATGGATAAGAGCGAATGTGCCTTGTGTCATCGATGTCGCAATGTCTTCTTCTGTGCTAGTTGTACGTCTTCCATGCTGCAGCAACGTCGAACCATGCTTGCCGCACTCCAGGCAGACGTGGCTGTGCTACGCAAGAAGACCGAGTTTGCACTGAGCGTGCGTTAAAAACGATATCACAATAAGACTTTTTCCTCCTAACGCATATTTATTCTTTGGTTTTATTGTAGACAAAGCATGTTTACGTAAACGCAGATATTCGACTGGATACATACATGAAGCAGGTGGAGCAATTGGCTGAAAAAGTCATGAAGACCCGCGAGCAGCTTTGTTCAGAGAGAATTGCAGTCGTGCAGCGGACATCAATGCTGGAAGAGCAAACATTGCAGATAGAAAAAGCTCAGCAGAAACTGCGCCAGGCGAGAGAACAAGCGGAAAGTATTTATGTTCCAGTTCTCAAGTGTTTGGACTATCAGGTTCAATGGGCGGACGAGGTACGCGGAGGCTGGAGTGAATTGGTTGAGTGAGTGAGTGAGTCGTCAGAAAAACTAAAGCTGCTTTCTTTTGTACTGCTAGTAGAATGCTGCAAAAGTAAGAGGTGATCGACTTCGTGAGCTATTCACATTATTTGGTTTAAACCCGGAAGAAGAGAGAAATGAAAAGGACGAGGAGGCGGATTTATTGAGTGACCTCTCTGATGTACGGGAGGACGTGTCGACAGAACAGAGCCAAAGGAAAGTTAGCATGGCTGTTTCCGTGTACTTCCGGACAATTTTGGGACTGCCACTGCCAAAATCTGGCAAGTACGAGAATGTACCGCCTGAAGTGGTTGCTGCGGCGCTGGGGAAGGTGATTCATCTGCTGTATTGCCTCGTCAAGTATCTGAAGATTACATACCCACATCCGATGGAATTTAATGGATCCTTTTCAACGATTGGAAACATAAGCGAAGGAGCTGGGTGTCACACATTGTACCCTGATGGTAGCGTTGGGTTTGAGCGCGGAGTGAGTATGCTTTACGAGAATGTAGCGTTCTTGTGTACCTGTCAAGGTGTGACCAAAAGTGATATTCACCCAACCGATTTGCTTGGGAATCTTTTGCAAGTCTACAAGTCCCCACGACTTGGAACGTTGTGCGAAAACCAAGAAGCAGTATCGTCCGACTTGAGCGGAAGGTACGTGATAATTAGGAGGCTAACATGATGGATAGGGCCTTGAGCTAATGCTATGGCTTGAATGCACTAACACCAGCAGCCCAAGCCAGGATGGCATAGTGACGCCGGCGCTACTGGAAAACTTGCAAACACTAGGTGGAAGTATTGAGATCCTGCCTCACTATTCATGAGGAAAAGGTACACACATGCTTTTGGATATCAGCAGTTGGATAAAATGGTAAATACACAACTAGCAGCATAACTCTATTGGCCCAAGCTACAACGAGCTGGATGCGTCAGTGCATATGAAGCTCACGAATCTTGTGTTGACGGTGTTATTTAGCTGGCAACAATTACATCTCTGCCTCGTCTGACCAGCTGCAATTTCCTTGACGCTAATCTTGGCTAGATACAACATCTCGTTGCTATTCATTCCCATTAACCAAATGGCGTGATCGGCGCTGACGAACCCTGATCGTCCTGACTAAGTTCCAAGCACTGGTGCTTGAGTGATGACAGCTTCTCGCGAATCAAATCCAGTGCACAAATCACTACTTCTTCGGGCTTCAGCTGTCCCGTTGTCTGTGTCCATGAACAAAACGTAGCGTTAAGTCAAATAAAAACAGGCTCGCTCCGCCATACAACACATCAGCGTCACCACCAATGTAGCAAACAAAGACATCGCACCTCAACTGAAAAAATGAACTTGTCTTCCCGCATCCGGACCGTCACAGCCGAATCGTCTTCCGGATTATCCTTATACGAGTCTGCCAGCTTTACGCACTCGTCGCAATACATGCATCGCATCGCATCTCCTACCGTAAACTGCATCACACAACAACACCAAAGTAACGAACATCCATCAGCAACTCAACAATTTTTTCCCTTTACTCCTTCGTCAATTCTCTTCACCTGTTCATAGTTCTCGTCTGTCTCATATACTTCCGTAGGGCAGCATTTGTACATCTCAGCCTTTTGTTCGGGCGTGTACGTGCTGAGCACAGTCTGGTTTAGTGTAATGATTGGATCATACATGTACGTCGCCACGGCCACGGGAGACCACTTGGCATGCTCTTTGCCAACGCCGAGTTTGGCAATAGCTGAAAGACGCAGTCTCTGGCCGGGTCCAAGCTTGGCGATGATGACGCCACTGTCCTGTGTATTGTTAAACTCCTCCTCAGAAGAAAAATTGACTGGACGAATGTATGGATCCGAGGATTTAAGGGCTTCGCTCGTAACGGATAGCACGCCACTGTCCGCCGTCACATCCAGTGAGAACTCGACGCTACAATTGGGACAATTCTCATCACAATCGCAGTCCTGAGAGTACACAAATCGCTGACTAAAGTTCTCTAGACCGCCATCAAAATTGAGAGGAATCATACCCAATCGATGTGCCAGGAACTCGTCCGTCATGACTGAAGTGTTAATCTCAATGCTCACCAGATCGATGGCTAGTGTTGGTACTTCAGAGATCATGACACGACGTATTGCATTGGCTACACTTGCATCTGTTTCTGATAAATTAAATCGAATGAAATCGTCACGTAGTTCCTGGATCTCAATCTTGGGGAAGCGTGGATGTGGCATCGTGAGACTGGAAAGACTAGTTGCTTAGGGCTCCGTAGAATAACGATGCGATACGATTGGATGAAAAAGAGAAACAAGATTCGATCAGACGATTGGATAGTAAAGAAAAGAGTTTTTAGCCAGTCATCTGTTTTGAGCAATTGGCCCTCTCTTGTCAATTTATTACGGAACAGGTTTAGAATTGCGTAAACGCCCCATCTCGTTGAAAAAGGTATACATGTATACTATACGCTTCCAACGCCCTCGGTCCATGCGAAAACAATGAAAGATGTCTGCGTCATCAGAATAAAGTAAAACTTCACTCGTCATTTAACACATCAGCTCCATTACCCGGGGGGCGAATGCGTGCACAGAGGATGAAGGCGAATGCGTGACGTTTTGTGCGCACCGCCGTGGCTATACGGAGCAACTCACGCAACTGCACGCCGACGAACACTTTTACTACTGTATACACTCTTCAAAAACAACATGGATGGCCGCTGACTTTGAAATTCCAAATAATTGAGAGGTTAACCTTTACCCTTTAAAAGTAAAGATGCTGCATGTTTGTCACGTTCTGCCGTTCCTTCATCCAGCTAATGATCCAGGCTCCGACTTTTGCTGAAAAAGAACAACAAGTTCTTTATCACACAGTACTTCACATCTACTGACGTATATCGTTGCAACGCCTAGTTCATGCGACCAATACAATTGGGAGCGTTGCAATCGCAGCGAATGGCTTCGTCTTCGATTGGAAATTTGTAATCGTACGTCACTTCATCTCCCACCGCGATTGCACGTTTTGCAAAAATCACAATCTTCTTCTCACCACCTTCCACCGCGACGATACGTGCAAAAGCCTTGGGATCGCACGAATGATTGATAAATCGTGCCAAGTTACCGCATCGCGTGGCGTCAATGATTGTTTTCTCGTCCAGTCGAAACATGTAGCAACTACCGACCCCTTGCTCTTCGTAGCGCCGCTCTCGCTCATCTGCCACAGATTGACAAACCATTTGGCCTTGGTACTCGACAATCATTTGGCCCTCGCTCACAGATTCCTTCAAAAACAGACCATAGCCATGAATAGACGACTTGCGCACCAACATACGTTCATCAAATGGGCGACGGCGCAACTCCCGATACTGCATTGTGATCGGCAGGTGCTCGATGTCCATAGTCACTCCGCCAGTGCTAGTGTTTCCAATCCCAATACTCGCACCGTTTGCAGCCCCCGACATAGGTTCGTTGCTCGCTTCTTTGTTGAAAGCTTGCCGCCTTGGCATGGCTTTAGCTTTCTTTGGTGTGCCGAACAAGCGATTGCCCTCAAAGCCATCGGTCCGCGCGCACCCGGACGATCGCCAAGCACGCTGCTCAGCCTGTACTACTTGCTCCATCACCCGTTCAGCCGTCTGGAAAGCCTCGGCAGACGGAAGCTCATGTGCAAACTCATACGACTGCCCTTCCTCTGCGTCTTCCACCATTGACGAAACCGCTTCGCCTGCAATTGCAGCACTTTGCTTCATTACGCCGTGGCTTCGCTTTCGCGTACCAGATCCCCAAGTCGCTGCCGCTGAATCAGCCAACGTGCTGTGCCCCTGACGTTGCTGTTGCTGGCGAAGCTTCCTCACGATAGAATGGCGGCTGACCGCTGTAGTAGCAGCATAGGGGAGCTCTTCAATGTGACGAGAGATCTCAGGCAGCCCGAAGCCAAAAAAGTAGTCGCCACTCAGTGCAAAAGAAAGCCACGAGCTGCGCTTCAAAAACGGATTTCGTTCCGTCTCCCTAGTAGTACTTCGGTCGATTTGTTGGGGGCTAGCAGAAAATCCCCGCTGCTCTTCATAAAGTAATACCACGCGGCTACGCAATTCAATGAGTGCGTCTTCAGGTGTAGAAGCTAAAATTGGCCGTCCTCGATCGTCTGAAGCTGTGATCTTAAACACTGCCCGAGGTCTTTGCCACCGTTGATCGTACTCATTGTTTTCCATTTCTTCGCTGTCAGCCACGCCATTTTCCAGCTTCTTCTGTCGTCGGGTGCGTCGCGCTTCTATCTCAGTGCTAGAAATCACACACTCGTACAGACAACGCGTCCCTAAGTGACGCGTACTCCAGAAGATGCGTGAGCTTCGATAGCCCAGCGGATAAATAGCTGTTCGTGTATGAAAGCTTCCGTTACCGACAAAGATGTGTCCAAGAGAATGAACAGTCAGTGCACCCACGCGGTAACACATCGGCCTTGGCTTGATGCCACGTTTAAGTTCTGCACGCCTCTTCTTCTTCAAGTCCGACACTGACACAAGTGGTGGGTCACTGAAAAGGCTTCTTCGCGGTTCTGGCAGAGGGTTGATTACCGGTAGCACATGTTGTGTCTGCTTCGTGACTGTCTCAAAGCGTTCGCCATTTAACTTCATCTCTTCTCGATGAGGCTTCCATGCCCCGTCGTCACTTGTCTTTTCGTCTTTAATGTCAACAAAAGACACCTCCGCACTGCCGGCACTGCCCGGTGTGGCAGGTAGTACATTCGACTCGGTATCATCTTCGCTCAAGACTAAGGTCTTAGATCCACTGCCAACGGGATCTTCCGGGCTATTGCCTCCGTTGCTTTTCTCCTCTGTAAAGCTCGATAGATCTATTATGTCTCCTGTTCCATTCGTGTCAACTGTTACACTCGCTCCATTATCCGTGCTTAGTATCACGTTGGTTGTGCTAGTATCTCCATTCCCACGGGTAAATTGTAGATTAGTTTCAAGGGATGACTTACCGATTTGAGGTGTAGTTGCCATTTCCAACGATACTCCATTAGTACCTCTTAGTCTTCGAGTCACAATATCCACATGCGGTGTAAATGGGCAGCAAGTTTCACCAGTAGGCAAAAAGGAAACCCCAGCATCCACTGCACATGGAAAATGATAGTGTGTCGCGCAACGTGGAACAGTGCAGCCAACAGTAGCCCCCATAAGTCCGCATGCATCGCAGCGAATGAGACGACTGCGGTGTTTTGACTTACTACACTTATGCAACACACCTGACACGTCCTCGTATACCTCCATGGACCAAAGCACACAGTTCACATGTACCCACGTCTCGGGCTCGGTGTATATCAAACGTCCACACACCCTGCTATCGCCAATCATGAAACATAGCGCGCAAAACCGGGTATCTTCGAATGCTTTAGTCATTGAAGTCTCCCAGGACTCACCGTCGTTGTCACCTCGAACACTCATTGCTGGCCAACCACGCAGCGGAGACGCAGTTGTCATTTGAACCACAACACCATGGCTTCTTGTGGATTGGACTGCTGACAAATCATGCACATTAGAAGCGAGGGTGCTAGCATTCATATTGACTCCTGTTGTAAATAAAGTCGGTCCTGCCGACTCCAACGAAATGTCGCTTTTCCTCGTTAAAGAAGATTCCGATTCTCCCTTCGATTTAGCTACTGTCGAGGTTGTAGCGTTGGCTGCAACATCATCGAATCCAGATACCGTAAGTTCCACCGATGATTCGTGCACAAGATGTCTCTTAGCTCCACGACAATCGTATTGATCCTTGATGGTGGCGATTTCATCTTCCAACTCCAATCTCGGTTTTGACTTTTCGCCATCAATACTCTCGCCAGTTCGCAAACGCTTTAAGAGCGACTCATCTAGCTTCCGATGCTCAAATCCAATACTGCTGTTCTCGTCGCTTGATAGCAAGTGAATGACAACCTCAGGAAGCGGACGCCACCCATACAGAAGATGCACACAGGCCAATAAAGCAGCACAACTGGCGGCCTCGGAAACAATTGTGCAAATGGCGCTTGCGTCTTGGCGCGTGTTTAAACCGACGGCTTGCTTTGAATAAAAGCTCTTCGTTTTGCGTTCGCGACGCCGTGCCGCTGCACGTGGCCCACGCACGTACCGCTTGAACCGCATATAGCGATTGGCTTTGCGTAGAAGCCATTCGGGTATTACAATTCTGCTATCGTCCAGTTCCTGTTGCTTCGTGAAATGGTACCAGTCGCTTTGGAAGTTGAGACTACGATACGCAAAGTTACGAAGACATTCTTCACCCAAGCGCAGCACGTACAGGTAGATGGGCGTGTGATCAGCTAAACGCTTCCAGCGTTCGACCTGTTCCAACTGCATTTGAGTTTCCTTCCAGCTTGAATCACATTGAAAGCGCTTACGCTGAATATCAGCAATAATTATTTGACAGCGCCAACCTTCACCGTCAAAGATTTTGCCAGTAAGATGCTTGCGTTCTTGTGGGCGACATGCTGCACATACATATAGTGCACTGGGATCGCTCACCAGGGTGTCATAGCGCTTTGGCTCTGCCTTTAATAGCGCATCACATGGTGGATGCACCCAACGTTCGCAAGCATCGCATTGCATAAGTTCCGTGAGATCAGCATCCCACTTGCGTTGACATAGCGGACACTTTTCTGCGTCTTTCTTTTTTTGCGCGCTGCTGCAGTCCATACTTCTGTCAGTAATCTGGTCCGATCCTTAAGTGCTTGTGCTTCACGCTCGATGCGGTGGTGGCATTGCAAGCACTTACTCCGCTCGAAACTGTACGTACGCTCAATAGTCCCAACGTGGTCTTTCTTCGTCTTTTCGGAGTCTAGATACTTATTGCTACCGCCTCTGATGACCTCACAGTTTGTGCAGATCACACAGCTGCAACAGTAAATAATTGGAACTGTTACGCTCCCGTCGCGCTTCGTGGAAGCCGGTGGTAAGCTGATCGACGGTTCTAGGCATGACCCATGGTATCCACGATCACAATGTGCACAAAGAACGAGTGGCTCTTCCGCAGATAGCTCATGTGTCATGTCCGTTTCCACTCCAGCCAAACGCGTAGCAGGAACTGGGTTGTTCACGCTTCCAGCAGTAGCAACAACGTGACCGATACTGCTATTAGCTCCGCAAACGGGACCAGGTTGTCCACATATCTCACACATCTTGCAGTTGGGACAGCGCCAATACGCACGCATTTGTTCATTGTCTTCTAAACGAGTCATATTCATCCCGGGGACACAGAACAAGTGGAATCCTTCGCCGCAGTCCACGCAAAACATAAAGTCGCAATACAGTCCAGCGCTGCCGCACACTGCGCACATATCTAGCCAACTGTCTGTATGAGCTGATGTGCGCGTTTGTATGATCTGAAAAAGCGGAATGCGCGTAACGGAGCTGCTAACACGGAGCTTCGTCTGGAAAACGAATGCTTCATTAGTGACTATGCGGTGATCAGCAAGTGCTGCGGTAAGAGCTGACGCTGTGCCATTTACTGATGCTGAAGGAGCAACGTCACTGGTAGCCTTGCTTTCGTGTTTTATTCTCGTAGAGTTTGGCACGTTGCTGCTTATATCGCTGCGAGCAACCGATACCAATTCTGATGTTAAACCATTTGCCGTCCCATTCGAAGTAGCAACATGTTCTTGAGTTCCAGCTCCTCGGCTACACACGTCAGATCCCGCATCGGAGCCATTATCATCGTCTTCATCATCGTCAAGTTCATCATCGTCCTCATTATCGTTGCCATCTTCGTTATTCTCGATTAAATTGCCAGTAGACTGGGGTTTGCCCGCAAGTGCTGAATTGTTCGGTAGCTGTCGCTTCGCCGCGACTAACAGGGCGTCATAGTGGCGTCCTCCACGCTGCTTTATTCGTGCTTTGGGTGCTGTTTGCCTGAATATTTTCTGTCCTTGCCCGTAAAACCGCCAAGCCTCACGCCAAATCAGGAAGTCGCGCTCCTTAGAATTAAAAGTCACCGCGTTCAGGCACATCAGCTCAAAGTCATCCCGAAAACTGCGGAAGTTAACATTTGTGTACTTCTCGTCTAGGATCTTCTGCTGCATTGTACTAAGATCCATAGGCAACTTGATTATGTCGGAATACGAAGGCGCAATTGCCTCGGTTACAGGTTCTTTAAACAGGTCCAACTTGTCTTCGACCCCCAGACGATAGAGAATGTGCAGCATACGAACTTTGCGGCACGTATGACACTCATAATTATGCAACACCTTCGGATCATACATAGGTTTAAACCGAAGGGAACAAGCAAAGTCTTCTTCAACCTGTTTGGCAGTCTTGATGACTCCGTCGTCCCTACGTGCAAACACTTTGGCGCTGGATAGCATCTTATGCTCCTCTGCAGTGCTACAGCTTTCCACCGGAGTTCTCAAACTCGAGATCGATTCAGTGTCGGCCTCACGACTTGCTAATGCTGCAGTAGAATTTTCCCTCGAGTTAATAACAGCTTTGGATGGATTCGATAGATCTTTTGGTGCATCCACGATGACATCTAGTGTAAAGCCGCTGGTGCCGTTGACAGTGTGAAAAGCTGGGTGTGGGTCCGGCTCGCAGTCAGCGTGAGTCCAGTGATGACATGTCGAACATATTAGCAAATCCATACTGGTTGTTAGTTGCTCATCGTCCAGGACAAGATTACAAACGCCGCAAAATCGATTGGCTTTGTAGTAAGGAACACACTTAGTGCAGAGCGCAGCAGCCTGCAGTGGTAGTCGCCACTGTGACCATCGTGGATCGCAATCTTCACCAACTCTCTTGATATCATCACTAGAAATAATTGGCTTAGTTCGGTCAGAAATGAAATCATCCTTCCGACGATGACACCCTGGGCATACTACACAGGCGCTGCAAACATACGGTATCTTCAAATCCACCACAAGCACCTCTCCGTCCTCTGGATTTATAAGCGAGATCGGAGCATGCGGCGGATCACAGCAGGTTACGTGAAACCGTCGATCACACTTCGAGCAAGCTATCAATTTCTCCATCTGTTTTAGATCGCGTACTGCATCGTGCGTATCAATATCCGTCTGGCATTCGTCTGGGGCAAGCAAGCAATAACTGCACGTATTTGTCTTAAGGTCTTCCTCACCCTTCCAACTTGTAGTTGCTAAATTTGCGTTATTTCGGAGCACGCCAGTTTCTCGAATTATGGCTTTTTCGAGGAGCTCTTTAGAGTGAAACTCTCCTGGGATGCCTCCACTCACGTCGGATCCAGTTAATTCGAGCATAATCGCCAGTTCACTAAACGCGCTTGCATCTTCAAAATGGTACACAACACCATCAGAACATCGAAGCAGATCGACTTTGACCTCAGTATCAGAATCAGAATCATTCACGCCATTTACTTCACTGCGAGGTGTAATAATATGCTTGTTCAAATCTCCATCAAACTTTTTCACCACGAATGCTCCTGGTGATAGTTCGCATGAGCCCACCGACGTGACCTTAATGGTTTTGCCCACCATTGCCTCGGCAATTTGGGCGCAACGTTCACTAAATGCTGCGTGTCCAAGCGCTCGTTTACTCCTTTTCATGGGTTTACGTAGAACTGGTGGCGCTGAGGTTGCTGAGGCTCGTCGAAACCCGGCTAGCAATGCTTGAAAGACGCGGTCCAAAAGCGCCTTCTCGGAGTGTACCTCGTATCGGACTCTTTCCACCGATTGTGAAAACATGTCTTTCACTTCCCCCATCGTTTTCGTTGTTGCTGGATCCTCTAAAGGAGGCGGTACAAACCGCTTCATGCTTCGACAGAGATATTTGGGGACCCAACAGGAGATGTACTGTATAGTCTCTCTCTGCCCACCGCTATTAGTAAATATTCGAACGAGCCTAAAATTCGCGTGGGGTCCAATTTCTTCATCGTGAATCGGCAGTAGCAGCTTCCGCGCAAGGGCATTAAGGCGCAAGACTTGGGCAGGCCACCACCGGTTTTGCAACGCTGGTACTTTAACGTAAATCATAACGCGCGTCCCAATGACCATTGGAAAAGCGTATAGCGGCAGCGATGCCACCACACCATCGTCAAAGCGGACGGTATGGTGCATTCTGGGATGTGTAGCATGGAAAGCCATCACACGCCCCATCACCCACTGCTTATGCCACTGCAGAAAAACACCCACACTTTTTCCGATAAACTCGTACATTTTGCGCCGTTCTTCACGAGAGTTTGGCGGGTTTCCAAATCGAGTTACAGCGTCCAGTTCAAAAACTTTTGCAGATGTGGCACGTAAAAGACGACCATAAACTTGCATCTCCGTCACCATTTGCTTCGAAAATCGCGGTCTCTTCTTTCTGCTGCGCTTAAAAGCCCTGAGGCAAGACTTGCAAAACCACGGTCGAGCAGGGACAGCGTTAGCGTCGTCAGTACCTATCACGTCCGATATCTTGAATTCTCCAAAGCAGACATCACAAATGATAAAGATATCGCTTTCTTCGACGTCATCAAAGCTTTTGGTAAAGTAGTCGTCGTTCGAGTCTGCAACGACTACGGTCGGTTCAGTAAAGCTCCATCCACTAATGGCCTTTTTTCCGTCAAACTCACGTCGCAGTTCAGCAGAAGATACTACCATAGTGATTGGCTTTGGAATGAGAAGAGGTGGACCTGTACTGCCATCAATAGATGCATTGTTTGTCGTGTGGCTACCAATAGCCTGAATCACGACCGAGTTACCGTCGGTCACAGGCGGACCACTAAGATTCGTCTTCGGTTTCTTGGAATTGTCTTGCCCGTTACTCGCTTCACCTACTCGATTTCGCTTTTTGCCGACTGTTGTCGGTAAAAGAACCTTTGGTTCGCATCTCACGGTAGATACTGACCGCCTACGCGAGTATCCAGCTTGCAAGGTGCGGCAAGCTTCACAGAGCATCACACCGTCCACGGTTCCGCTTGGGTGCTGCAGCCGATCGACCACACAATTACCCACGTGAAATTTGGTATCGCAACCCACGCACGTCTGTAAAGCAGCCGATGCAGCCGCACGGACATCACTGCAGGCGGGACAAAACCACTCGCCTTTTGGGATTTTGAACAATGGAGGATACAAAGTTGACGGGTCGAACTCATGGTCACAACCGTCACAAATCAAGACTGTCACAACCGTTTCTTTTTCGGACAAACATTCAGGATGTGTTATGGTCGCAGTATACTGCAAGTTTGCACGACGACGATCAGGTATGCCACCCTTTGCCTTCATGCGGTAGTTCTTGACCTGATCCCGAAAATTCTGCGTGGAAGTGCATGTTGGACAGAACCAGTCACCACTTGGCACATCGGTTAGCGGCGGATTCAGCGTCTTCATATCAAATTCACCGTCACACATATCGCAAATGAGTAGCACCACAGAAGCAAGTGGGACAGCCGAGTTATCAGCTGCGTTAGAATCAGCATCATTCGCCTTGGAGACACAAGAGCTGCAAAACCAGTCGCCTTCTGGAATATTTTGTAGTGATGGGTATACACTAGCCATATTAAACTTCCTGTCGCATCCACTACAAACCAACACCGTCACCAATTCTTGGGAGCTCTTTCCCTGAGCTGCTACATACGACGGTGGACCTGCATTGTCAGTGCAAGCAGAACAAAACCAGTCACCCTCAGGAACCTCTACAAGAGGAGGGCTCAATGCTGCCATTTCGAATTCTTCGTTGCAACCATCACATATCACCACCGTCACGAGTTCATTCACTTCTAATGCATTGGCGAATGAAGCGCAATGCCCACAACACCACTCCACCCCTAGTTCGTCGTCCAGCAGTGCGTTCTGCAGAACCTCGTCCAGGTTCCTATCATTTTCTTGTGGATCGCAGAAGTCCTGTAGGCAAAACAGCCCCTTGCACACTCTGCATTCCGTCCACCACTCCACGTCTTCGTCGGGTTGTCTATCCCGGTCATTCACGAGCATTGCGATCGTGCGCATCTCAATGGATCCATCCATCAGTTGCTTCATCTGCTTGCGATTCTTCAACATACACGGAGCACACCAATCTAGCGAGGCTGTCGACGATACCCGGCGTCTCTTCCTGCCCCGTCTACGATACGTTTTCTTCTTCTTCGCTCCTGTTCCTTGTTCCGCTTGGTGGCGCTCTACACAGCGGTGATGCAGTTGAGAATCATGACACTGTAGGCAACTGACCTTTTCTTCCGTCGCAATCAGTACCTGTCTGCACGTCGTACATACTTCCACTGCAGTAGTAAACACTCTCCAACCGTGATCATCACTCTTTCCCATCACTTGATTGTCATTGTCGTCATCATCCATCAACATTCCATTTGTGATAGTCATCTTTTCTGCTTTATCAGCCTTCTCGGACCTTCTGACGTACGGGAAGGCCAGCGTCGGCACCAAAATCGGCTGTATCGCTTCATCCGTTGTTCTCACTCCCTTTGTGCGACGTGTATCCATCTGCGACCGGCAATTTACGCACGTAAAACGGGGTCCAAGCCCTACTTCTTTAAGTTCCTGAGCATCTCCCAGCTCTAACAGACACGGCGTGTGGTACATACCATCGCATACGCAGCACCGAGACACCTGTGCACTTTCCATTGCCTCCATCGTCAATTTAGCGCAAGTTTCCGTCGAGATTACGCCCTTGGAATCGAGAAAAAACGCATTTCCTGAGTCAGCGTGGATGTCCGCATGGCCTTCAGTGCGGACGCTTTTTTGAATGCAAAGAGGCGATTCCCCCGCAGTTCCCTCGCGCAAAACTTTTTCACATTTTAGACACGTAAGATCCATTCTAGATAGAGGTCGAAGCTTACTGCAAAACGTCCAATTGCACGTCCTAAATACCGCTTCCTGCCGTTGCTTCCTACGCTTGGAGCAAAGGACCTACTTCACGAAAGTGAAAGAGCGGCATGGGATTGGTGGAAATAAAGGTCTTATCAATTTTGAAAAAGGGGGCGTTATTTATCAACCACTTTTTATCAAACACCTTTTTGGTAACATCAACTACAGTACTGTACTGTACCTCTAATCTTACAGTATCAAAATCTGACTACTGTTATCAGAAAAGAATGAAATTACGAAAAAAACGTAACGATTTTGATAAATATCAAGCTTTCTGTGTTTAGTGCTTCTATATCTTCTGCTGCGTGACGACGAACAGCTTCGGGTATTGTGGCCTGTCTGTTACGACATTGTTACCATCATTATGGTAGTTAATAAATATTTAGAAACTACATTACACATAGATACTATTACTGGCACGAATCGACTACTATCTAGCACCAAAGTGTCCTGCCCATAAAAAATGACCATTTACGTCTCTAAACCTTCAAGCAAGCTGGTCTTCCACTATTCCAAAAAAACCATCGTCAGCATAGACACCAATTACAGTTTGACATCACCGTCTTTCTTATGCCGATCCTTTTGTGTATCTGACTACAACGACATTACGTTTCTGCTCTACATGAGCATTAATTGCCGCTCTTGCTTGTTCTAGGGAAGTATAGACAAGCTGCGGAGGTGGTGCAAGATTGGTTTAAATGGGGATAAAAGCCTATTTCTACTTAAAGTAAAGCGGGTGATGAGCTTTCTGACGAATTAGATGTTTATAAATTTGGGGCGGTTGATGGTTGCCAAAACGGTGATTAATAAATAATGCCTCAAGAAAACATGTTGCATGCAGCAATTTCATTCGTCGACTTGATGGGTCTTTTTAAGAGACACCAAATTTTTCATCATTAAATGTCAGTACAAAGAGGTCAATTATTATGTGACAAGTAGTTTACTTTCAGCTTCAATAAGCGACCACTTGGACGTAGGCAAACTGAAAATTTGACGTCCAAGGGGTCAGCGTCCTGCGTCGAGCGACAGTATCGCATGTGTCAGAAACACATACATATCGTATAAATGCGGGACGTTTGGACTATTTATTCTAATAAAATACTTGATTCGGTATTGATTACAATTTGCCGTCGAAGAATCTATGCGGCTAGTAATGGTCCGACTACTGCGTTGTTCTATCCCGCTGAATTCAGACCAGCGATGTCCAAACTTTTTTAACACTTAATTTTGAAACCAAAAATGGTTTTTTATGATTCTGGAAGTGCTTATAGTATTACGAGATGACAAAAAATACAACACTTCAATATCCAGCCCATTAACTGACTGAGTTAATGGCTTGCACCAGTAGCACTTTTGGTTCCTAGCAAAGATGAGTGAATGACTCTTCAAAGCTTCTCTAGGAACATTGCGCATTGCGCCTAAGCTTTTGAATCTACAATCAAACCATGGATCATGGCGTTCCAACCAGGCCATACCAAGAATGAGATCATACCTCGAGTCCAAATCTAGGACAAGACAGCGTTCAACGCTATTGAAGTCTAAAAACTTCACACCTAAGTTTAACGGAACTTTAGGAACGGTGGAACGTACACCTGGCGAGACGAACGGTTATACTGCCACCCTCTTGCGCTTCTAGCGCCTCAGCATAAAGCTGATCCCCTTCAAGTGAAAGACGTCGGACATAATTACCCGACGCCCCTGAGTCAACTAAAAGTGACCATCGCTTCTCAAAGCCTTTAACGGTTGCCGACACAACCAACAAGCCTGGCTTGTATTCCTGTTCCATGGAAGCATCCACAGAACCACCTGGGGCTAAGCCCTGTTTACCTCTATCTCCTAGAGGTTCAGTAGAACTTAGTTCTTTCCCAGTAGGGCGCCCCGCGCCTACTGGAAGCTGACGTTTTCCCCTGCCGTGCTCGCTTTATGGCTAGGAGCAAGGTTACGGCTCTGCCGATTCTGACGTTGCTTTTGCAACGGACAGCTAGGACGGAGGTGCCTAGTTCTTCCGCACATGTAATATCTATGGATAATATCTTGCTGCTCTGCAGCTTGAAGCTCAGCTTCTTCATCATGATGGGTTTCGTCCTATTAGAGGCAATTGAATCATACCGTGGCAGACCATAGCGAGCATATTTGAAAGTAAACACAGCGTTAAACGCTATGCTCACTGCCTCTTCGAAAGCTGAAGGCTGGACACGAAAACCTTCTGTCCTGGCGACCCCAGTACGAAGTCCTTTCATAAAAATGGTTACTCGGACTTCCTCTACCAGAGGGTCTTGCTGCATAGCAGCAATGAGAGTTCTCAACTCTTGGACATAGTCCGACAATTCTTTCTTACCTTGTTGGGTAGCTAAGAAGCGTGATCGCACACGATAAGCCTGATTAGGCGGTGCAAACACGCAAGTTAATTGCTTTTTAAGCATTTCCCACGTGGAAAAAGCAGCGTTTACAGAGACATCGCTCGTTAGAGACCACTCTCTATCTCTTCCACCAAGCTTAGAATGGTCAGGCCAGCTCTTTGCTTTTTTTCTGACACAATCATGGCGGCATCCATTGCCATTTCAACTTCTCGGATCTAGAGGAGAAAAATTTCTCCCTCCTTCCCCTCAAAGGTTTAGCGTCTAAAACGAGTGGGCGAGACTTTGGATCTGCATCGGCCACAAGTACCGGGGTATACTGCGTAGGCGCAGCTGACGCTGCCGGGTCGTGGACCTGCCCGAGTAGCGTTGCCTCATAACGCATGAAGGCCTCGAGGCGAGCATTGAGGACCTCTGGGCCTTGGGCCAAAAGATTCTCGATTTGATCGGACTCAACGAACGCAGATAATTTATCTAGTGCGAGTCGTTGCGCCTCAGAGGGGTGATTTTGACTCTCCATCCTCACAAGAAGGCCATTCTTAAAGACTCAGGTGTAGGGTTGACTACAAGTGCTACCAAGTGAAGCGGAGCTACACAGCTCTTTAGTCAAAGAAAGACTTTTAGGCTGAAAGTCTCTTAGCTCTATAGAACTGAATAAATTTACGTCTAAAAGCCACTTAGTTCTAAGGAACTAATTAAACGACTAATAAATCACCCTGTTCTAAGGAACTACATGTAGGAGGTACTTCTAGTCTATAAGCAATAGCTGCAGGTTCAGAGAACCAACGCACAGAGTGCAAGAGTTTAAGCTATGCTTACGGTTCTAGGAAAAACGCATGAAGTGCACAAGAGAGAGAAAGACTTGAGATCTTAAACTCAAAATGAGAACTGATTTTATTTATGCATTAAGATGTTAGGAATAATCCTACTTAAGTACCCTACACTAGATTAATTACTATAACAGCAATTATAATATGCAGACTTTGTTATTGGACGATGTATCGCCCAAACATCTGTGTATGATGTACTTAGTACAGCGTTATCGATTTATCGAATCCTGATCGATAAGATACGGTATTACCAAATACCGTATCAAAACGCTCATACCTAATACCTCTCTAAAGAGAAGTATCAAGAATACATTATATGCAATAAAAAAACTTCAATCGTAAACTTCGGAATAATGTTCCGTCGTGTAACCCCGTTACAATAGCTCACTGCGCACGAATAGCTGAATATGCTTTTGCGTGTCGCAAGTGTGGAGAAGTACCAGGAGAATTAGGACCCAGGGTACCAGGGCCGCAGGGTACAAGAGCCCAGGACTCGCAAGGTCCCAAGGTTCAAACGAGGGTCACCAAGGACAGGGCTTCCAGTCACCAGGGACAGGGTTTCCAGCTACCGGGGACAGGAGTACCAGTTATTGGGGACAGGGTTTCTAGTAACCGGAGACAGGGGTATTAGTCACCAGGGACAGGGTTTCCGGTAACCAGGGACAGGGTTTCCAGTTACCTGGACAGTGGTACCAAAGGTCCAGGGTCCTAAGGTCATAGAAGGTACAACATTCCCCTACCGTGCGCAGACCAGGACCCCGAAAGGTCCAGTGCCTCGAAGTGGTCCAGGGTCCTAAGGTCAAAGAAGGTACAAGGTATTTCTGCGTGCAGAGCCGGTACAGTCCCTAAGGTTCAAGGGCCCACGATACAAGAGACCAGGGGCCTAGGGCCCAGGGTACTAGGGTACAAGGGCCCCAGGGTACCAGGGCCCAGGACCCAGCTCTCGAGGGTACAGAAACGGTACACGGAACCTCGAAGATTACAGAAAGTACAGGTACCAAGGAGCCATTATTCCTCCAAGAGTCGACATGTGGCACTATCCCGATCAAAGGGTTAGGGTTAGGGTTAGGCAAGAAAAGCATACAAAGTATAAGATACATAAACACACTCGCATGTGCATTCCACGTGGCAGCTCGAAGCGCCCCTCTCCAAGCTCCTCTCCGTCACCTCACCTATTCCGGGCGGGATGCCTTTTGGCCCACCGACTTCAGGTGAGGTGACGGATCAAGCAACGCAAGTTGAACCTCAGGATAGTTGGCCTGAGGTGTCAAGACTCAAGTGCGAACTTGTTTCGATCTACCCACCTGTTCCGGGGAAGAATTTTTTTTGCCCCCCCCCCCGTTGAAGACAGTCGTGTGGTAAGATTCAAGATCGAACGATCCCCAGGAAGTATTTTGGCCTATGGACCCAACACCCGATACAGAAAGCGGTTTCCCTACGGGGAACAAGAGAAAGGGGTCCAAGGACCAAGAAACAGTTAGACACCGAAAGGGGAACATAAAACCAGGTGCACTGCTCTCAACCCAGTCGATCGAGCTCAAGAAATTCGGTCCCGAGTGAAGTATATCCACTCCGGGGCCCCCAAGTCCCTCCATACAAGGACCGAGTCTTTAAGTCTTCTGCGTGTAACGAGGAGCAAGACCAGCAAGCCGACGGGTACACAAGGTGAGACCCAAAGTTGACGCGACACGGTATCAGGGTACCCCCTCCGTAATTCGGCAGTCCGGCGCTGTGGTTCTTTCACGTTGTTTGAGAATTCGCT